AGCCATCGTTCCTGTGGTTCTGGTTGTTGTCTGTTTCATCTTTTACTTTCACTTTTGAAATGGTTGTTCAAGGCAGCAAATTCCCGCGTTAACCTATGCCGCCATCTTGGTTCTCCTGTTTTTCATTTCTGACTGGTTCTTCTATATGCTCTTTTTTTAAAAAAATATATACTTTATTGATTTTTTTACAGAGAGGAAGGGATGGGGATAGAGAGTTAGAAACAAGGATGAGAAAGAAACATTGATCAGCTGCCAGCTGCCCCACTGGGTACGTGCCCGCAACCAAGGTACATGCCCTTGACTGGAATCGAACCTGGCACTCTTGAGTCTGCAGGCCGATGCTCTATCCACTGAGCCAAACCAGTTAGGGCATATGCTCTTAAAGCTTATTGAGCATCCTCATAACCAGTGTTTTAAACTCTGCATGTAGTAGATTGCCTGTCTCCATTTTGTTTAGTTCTTTTTCTGGAGTTTTATTCTGTTTTTTCATTTGGGATATGTTTCTTTGTTTCCTCACTTTTTCAGCCTCCCTGTGTTTGTTTCTATGTACTAGGTAGAGCTGCTATGTCTCCCAGGCTTGTTAAAGTGGCCCAATGTAGTAGGTGTTCTGTAGGGTCCAGTAGCACAGTCTCTTTGGTTACCAAGCTGAGGTGTGGCCCCTGTGTAGGCTGTGTACACCTTTCTCTTGTAATTGAGCCTTGAGTGCTGTTGGCACATCAATTGGAGGTACTTACCCCCAGGCTAATCAGCTACAAGGACTAGCTGTGATCATAGACCACCATGGAGGATAAGCTGTGCAGGGGCCCACCCAACATAGTAGAACCATTACTTCAGTGGGGCTCTGGTTCCACTGAGTCTACCCCTTGACTGAATCACTTATGGGGGTGATTGGGTGGTGATGCTTCAACATGGTCTGAGGCTGTCCACTAGGTGTACTGGCTCAGGGGTTTTTCAGGAGGTATAAGCCAAGCTCAGTCACTGCCTCTCCTGCCTGGGGCCACCTGGCATGAGCTAGAAAGCAATCTGTAGACGGCTGCGACTTGTGCTGGGCTTGGAGATGCCTAGACAAGGCCAAGCTTTGAACCAAGGTTGGAAAAGCCACTGGAAACAACTTAGGTGGGCCTGAAAGTTGGGTGGTGTGTGACCTCAGAGAATCACTAGGGTGGGACAAACAATGTAGCCAGTTTGATGGAGTCTCAGCTATAGTACCCACCTGGTGGCTCAGTGGGAGGAGGACTCACCGAAGGAACAGTGGCCCCTGCCAGCATGTCTGTCTGGGAGAAAGCTGCCACCCCAGCATTGGAGCTCAGAGGGCGTAAGTCTGAGTAAGTCCATGGGTGGGCCCTGTAAGAGGTCTGCCCTGGGACTCCAGCAGCCTCCATCTCACTCAGCCTCAATCCCTGCTGTTTTTTACAGCCAGAAGTTATGAGAACTCTTTCTGGTAGCAAAACTTGTAGTATATTATATTGTGATAAAGGCTAAGAAAAAATTAATTGGGAAAGAGGTTTAAAAGTTGGGGGTGGTATTGAAATTTTAGGTTGAATGGCCAGAGGAAACCTCAGTGCAGATATGTGAGGGGAAGGACTCAAGTTAGAGGAATAAGTGCCAAGGTCTTTAGGTGAGAATGTGTCTGGGGTGTCTGAGGAACTGCAAGGAAACCAGGGTAGAGGAGCAAAGTGGAGAAAGAGAAACTTGCCTCTTTGCTTCTCTACTGTCTTCCTACCACACTGTACCAACTCTTTGCACACAGTAACATTCAATTATTTATTAAGCAAATTAATTAAATTAGATTCTAGAGCTTTCGGAGGGAAAACCAATAGTGATTAAGCTGGATATGTGAGGACAAGGGGTAAAGCAGATGACTTTGCAGGTAAGTGTGTGTGTAAGGGCTCAGTATATGGTGGAGAAGAAAGTGGTTAGGGTGAGGAGGGATAGGAAGGAGTGGGTTCTAGGTGGAGCTGTTGAGTAGGCAATTGGAAACACAAGTTTGCTGCTTAAGAGAGCTCAGACAAGAAAGGTATTTGGGAGATGACGACGTTATGGGATTGATGAGATCCTCCAGGGTCACGGTGTGGGAATGTAGAAAGAGATATGGATTCATTCTATAGGCAGGACCTCAGACCCTGATGATGGAAGAGAAGCAGACAGTAAAGAGAAGCAGGAGTCAGGCTGAATGCTAGTGTACTCTTGACAATGGTGGTGCCTTTGATAAGATCAGGAAGGCATGGATGGGGCGAAAAATGAATATTAGAATAAAAATATTTACTAAATGCCTAATTACAAAGAGAATCTATATTTAAGTCTCATAAGCTGAGGCTCTCAAAGTCTCAAGCTGGTGGGGAGCCAAAATGACCTCATTTATAAGGTAGCCCTCAGTACAACCCTAAAGCTCCAGTGTTACCAGCAGGTGGCGCATTCCGCAGGATGATAGAAGAGCTTCCAAAGCCCATTTGCCTGGAAACCTTGCTACCTGGCCATTTAGCCTTGAGCCTGCGAAATGTTTGTTGTTGTAGTTGTTCTTTTGTTTTGTTTGTTTGTTTTGCAGGACATGGAGGGGAGCAGTATTTTTGATGCCAATGATTACTGTTTTTTGTCTGAGTCAGTCCGTGCTTATTCCTAATGGTTCAGAGTTCCTCAAAGGGAGGCCTGTTCCCATGTGTCCTTTTTAGGCATCAGTAGACTTAGTGCTTTGATACTTGTTGAATGTGCCAAATGGTGAGTAATTAGTAACAGGGAAGAACTTTCACTTACTGCTCGTCAAGGTTAGATATTAACTGTCAAAAAGAGGACTAACTAAACTTGGGATAAAAATAATGTGTGTGTGGTTATTAATGTGCTGTGCTTGCCTTTAGACATGTTGGATGGTAGTTTTGCTAAGTGGAAACAGTCAAAAGTGGAAGAGGATGATGCTCCAGGATCACTTTCCTCCGTGAGAGAAGAAGCAGACTTGGCAGGTAACGTTATGCAACTAGCCAGCCAGTCAAGCAAGACTGGGAGAAAGTGTGAGCACTGACCAACACGAATTACCAGGGGTTACAGTTTGAAGGTCATAGCAGCTTCAGAGCCCTAAAAACTAAGTGTTCTCTCCTTTCAGAGACACATAAATTGCTGCACAAATTACGGATAAAAGCCAGCACATCTCCTCCCTAGCCTTTAGATTTCTGCCTCTTAA